TTACTGACAACAAAATTCTGGGCAGTGATGTCTTTTAGCATGTCACTGATGAGCTCCCAGTTGGCCCTGGCAACATTATAGGGCCTAACAGTCTTAGAGTGATTAACAGGGATGCAAGTAGAGATCCTAATGCTGATAAGGGCATGATCCGAAAGACTATCTAGGTCCATTAACTCCCATGAGTTCAGCAGAGGGCTAAGACTGTCAGAATAAAGAGTGACATCCACCCACGAGCAGCCACCACTACCAGTAAAGGTTGGTGGTGAAAATGGGTCATTTGCAATCAGTAAATTATTGAAGGCGGCAAAGTCTGCCAAAGCATCACCACGCTCATCTTGAGTTGTACCCCCCAAGTGGGGGAGTGGGCATTAAAATCACCAACAATTAGGATGTGTGCATCCTGATTAAGATTGATGGCAGTCTGCAGAAATTGTAGAGATGAATTAATGTCATCCCTAATGGAGCTGTAAATATTGAGAACTAACAACCTGAACCTAGGGTAGTTTATTTCGAGACAGATCTGTTTGTCCGAACTCAGTTGAGGGTGAAATAGAATAGACAGTTCCTTGTTAGCAATGGCAGCAGCCGCCCACGGGCTCTTATCAGTACATTGAAGAATTCCATAAGAGGTGCGCAAACAGGCAACTTTATTTTTGCAACAGTAAGGTTCTTGCATAAGAGCCAAATCATAAGTGTCAAGAATCTGATTGAGATGGGAAGTGGCAGCGATAGAGCGCTGCAGGTTAATTTGAACCAAATTAATAGAGATTGACTGAGAACTACTATGCATATAGGTACTAATGTCCATAATCAGTCCTTTTAATGACTAGATTCCTTATGCGAATGTAAACTGGGCATTCATGACTCATGCAGTTGTGCGCTCTATCAGCAAACCTTTCTCTAGCACAATTAGAGCAAGAGGGTGTCTGGTTTCGTTTAACACACTCTTTGTAGGAGTGTTCTCCACCACATTGACTACAGATTGATCTCTCAGAAACACAATGATGAGAAGTATGACCGAATTGACAACACCTGAAGCACTGCACCACTGATATATGGTCAGTCACTTTGCATCTAGTCCACAACAGGTTGACAGTCTTCAAGTCCAGCAGTTTTTTCCGGACTTCCGGAGTCACCTCCAACACCCAGTTCAGATGAAAGGGGTTACGTTTGCCCACAGCAAACCGAATAGTGGTGCACTGCATAAACTCATCCAATGACATTGAATTAGAGATAGAATGATTCTGAGTGTATATGATATCAAGAAGATCATCTTTAACTAGGCTCTTTGGAACCGATATCAACATAATGCGGGGTTTTTTCAGCTTGGGAACAGTGAGTCTCAATTCTGAAATTCCAGACACAGCAGAAGTAATAGCAGCCACATCACTATTAGCGACAAGGTCAACAGCCACTCCCCCTTTCCGAATTCTACGGAGACCCTTAACCGCAATACCAAGCTTACGAGGATTGACACGAGTGGTTAACATACTTTTTGTGTATTCAGACGAATCAGGCTCAGTGGTATTGTAAATAAGAACGGTGTGACTAGGTTCAAGTTGTGAAGAATCAGTAGCATGCTGAGTACCATGACGAGTGATGTCACTATAAAGTGGTGTGCTCACACTAAGGTCGAAATCATCATTATGAGGAGAAAGTCGACGATTGACCATTATCAAGGAATCTTTAGTGTCTTTAATAGCTGTACAAAGAGCTGCTTGAGATTCATCAAGTGTACGAACATCATCTTTGGTGGCCAATAAGTCTAACCGTTTAGAGACCTGCATAATCTCCTCACTAGTGGCCAGAGCACCCAAACGATCTTGCATGGAATGCAAGATGGGATTCAGTATTTCACCCTCAGCCAGGTCGATAATCTTCTGAACCTGGGTAATGATAAAAGAATGGTGTTCACGAGCACCACATTTGGAGTTGTGATAACTAGACAAATAGCCCTTAAGTTCTTCAAAGAGCTTATTTGCCTCAGAACGAAATTTCAACACAGATTCCGTAGCCATAATGGAGAAATAAAAAATAAATAAACAAATAAAAGCACAAAAGTCCTTGAAGTTCCCGCTCGCGCCAAATGTTGGCCCGCGCGCGCCAAAAGTTGGTCCGGTTACCACAGCAACCAGACTGTTGTTATGGAAACGGCTGCTAGACCGTTAAAGTTTATAAATGAGGAAATTCTTAAAAGTTTATATCGCTTTAGTTAAAAAAACAAAAAACTATTAACACTAAATTCCAAACACCGTTGTCAAACTTCTAGGCTTACAGGAAAGCGGCGCTGAACGTCCAACGTATACGTTTTCGCGTTTAAAACTTCGGCCTCAATCTCGCTAGTATGTGGCGAGCACGATTCCGTTCACCCACTTTAAACCTTAATCATTCCTGTGCCTTTTGTTAAAAATGGAAACTTTGCAAGGACGTTTTGTGTTTAAGGGATTGATACTATTAAATTTTGGTGGTTAAAGGTCGAGAGAATGGGGAGATTGAGGCGGGTCATGTCAAATNTGTTTAATATTATAATGGAATGATTAAATTTAAGAATAGAAGAATCTTACATAATAATTATTTATTGTTGGAAGATATTATATAATTACTAATATTTGTAACCCAATGCACCCCTTGTAACTGGAATTTTTTTCCAAATTACGTTAATAAACTTGAATTGAATATATTGCTTTTGTTGTGGTTCTAACTTTTGTTTAATATTATAATAGATTGATTAAATTTAAGAATAGAAGGAAACTTACATAATAATTATTTATTGTCGGAAGATATTATATATTTACTAATATTTGTAACTCAATGCACCCCTTGTAACTGGAATTTTTTTCCAAATTATGTTAATAAACTTGAATTGAATTGAATTGAATATTTTTATTTTATTGTTTTTCATGAGCAATATTTTCAACTAAGAAGTTAATAAATAATAATGAGCACAATTATATTTTTTCTTTACCTTTATAATATTTTTGTCAACTGGGCAATTTTTTTTTCTTTTCTCATTTAATAATTCACTTTCTATTGAATCTAGTAACTCTTCTAATTCTGTAATTTCTGTTTCAAGCTTCTTACTGGTTTGTAGAGCAGTTTCTAATTTGGATTTATTTTCTGTTACCTATAAATTAAAAAGAATAAAACTAAATAAATTTTTTACTTTTAACTGTTGAATATTAAAATTGAGCACAAGGTAGAAACAAATTTTGTAATTCATGTCATATTTATTATTAAAAATTGACTTTAAAAGTTATACCTTCGTTAAGAGATTATAACAGAATATTTCACATATTACACATTAAAATAAAATAAATACACCAATTTGTCCCTCTTTTTTTTTTAATACAATTAAAATTCTATATAAAACAATTAATGATAATAATATTCAAAATTAATATATATATAAATATAAATATACCTTTGCTCCAAGCTGATTATAATGACTTTTCAAATGATCTAACTTCTGATTCAATTCTTTTGGATTATCAGTTTGATTCTTTTCTACGATTTGTCGTCCTTGATGAATAGATAATTCTACTTCCATTTTTATATCACTAAGTAGTTTATAAAAGTGCTATATAAAAAAAAAACTTTAATATCATAACTACATAACATCTGTTCAAATTAACAGATTACATAGTCTCTCATGATATCTATTTAAAGTTGTATTAAAATACTAATATTATATATTATTTATCTAAAATATTAAACAATAAACATATTGCTTACCATACATTGTTCCAACTGATCTTGAATGGCAGCAGATTCATGACAAGTTACTTCCATGATATGCAATCCTTGCTCTATTTCATCAAGCATTTTTATTACTCTACTTAACTTAGAATCAAAATCTGATGGTTTTTGAAATCTTTTAAACTGTGATAAAATTTCTTCATATTGTTCCTATNAAATAATATATTTTTATGCATAAATTAGTTGCAAAAGTGTAAATTATTAATGAATTATATGCGTGCAATACGCGGGACCTTCAGGACGATAAGCTAAATTGGTGATTAGTTATATGAATCTTTATACATTTTTAATTTGAAAATGAATAAATAAAATGGTTTATGCTTTACCTAGACGCAAAAGTTTTATATTATCATATAATTTCATACTATCTGTGATTCGATTTAATCATTGGATACAATGCTTATATTATCATAATCGAATACATTCATTGACTGAATTATCTTCTTTTCGATCACTTCGTAATAAATTGAATAATAGGTAATTCTTAGCTTCTCCTGTTCGTCAGATTGAAACTATATCTTCTATTGTGCTTAATGACATCCGTATAGTGTCTTGATTTGCAGAAAGAATAAGAATTATGACTTTATGATAGCTTCAAACGTTTCGTTTTTGTAGGAAATAAAGACATTGTTGCATGTTTCAGTTATATTTATAAATATACAATTGACTTTAAATGAAGATATTATCTAATATAAAACATAATAACTTTCAATGAATTAACTCAGTTTTAGGCTCCATTAATGAATTTTATTGTTTGGCACAAGAAATATGATAGCATATTAATGGTTGTTAATTATAAATTTTTAATTTGATTATTGACATACATGAGATAAGATGATTACGTGGATATAATCCGTCATTGCTTCCAACTACTTTATTGCTTACACACTATCTCATGATATAGAACTGTGCAATCTAATACAAGATGCATAATTACTCTTTTCATAATTACTGGTGGGCATAACGTGCCTACCAGTAATCGAGTGGGTAAAATCATTGAATCTGGTTGGTCATGGGTTCGAGTCTTACCAGGCTGACTGCATGGTTTTCCAAGTTTTCTTTACCTGTCTAACATCTAAATAGGAGTCAGTTTCCGATAAAAATCCTCCGGGGAGACAGATTGGCCATGTGTTGCGTTGCATTATACTGTACCATCGATCCGCTGCTTTACATAATGTCTAATCATGTATAAGACTCCATACATAATTTATAAGCATATTCGCATTAAAACATTTCAATATTCAACATTAAATGTTGCTTATGTAAGCAGTAAACAACTAAAATTTAGTAATAACGAGCAATTATTGCCGGGCTGCAATTTTTCGTCAGTGTTTTCAATTTTTGGTAGTGTCTTGCCCCTGTACATCATACTTTTCCCATCAGCAATAGAGTCGTGCCGGTCATGTATCTAACTCCGTTTAGGGGAAAATATTTGAATTGAAATAACGTGACTTCCGGTACAAACCGAAAATTCGTATAAAGTTAATCGGAGCCTCCTGCTTTCTATATCGAGTCTCCACTTTCATCTAGCCTACTCCGTTCTCAAGATTAAGGATGAACAGATAGTGAGAATTTATAGGTCTACAATTTTTTCAAATTGCAGCCCAGTAATGATATTATATTAGTTAAAATAGCATAATAATATTGAAGTTCTTAATTAATTAATATAAAATATAGTCATACATAGTTACACTTTCTAATAATCAATTACGTTGATATTTTCGATCATTTGGAAGTTAATTTTGAAATTAGAAAATAATAATACAGGTAGGCCTCCTAGAACGCGGTAGATACGTTCCTTGAAAATACCGCGTTGTGGAAAATCGCGTTATAGGAGACACCAACTTAATATAAAAACAGGGATTCGGTTCTAAAAAGAGAAAAACTTGGCGTTTGAATGGCGTTTTTTGAATTTTCCAAACCAGCCATTGCTAGCCACGAATTTAACACTGGTTTCATCAGCTGACGACTGTCCCATTTGTTTTAAATAATCAAATATTTTTAAGGCTTTGTGTTTAAGTGCAGTTTTATTTAAAGGCAACCGTTTCTTGTTCATATCTTCTACCCATAATATTAGCGCTTGTTCCATTTTTTCCATTATAGGTGCTCTCGGACGAGCAACATTTTTCGCAAGAATAGATGATCCGGATGCGACCAAATTTCTGATCTTTTCTCCCGATTGCTTAATCGACCGAATAGTCGACTCATTTAAATTAAAATGCCTACTAATATCAGCTATCCGCTCTTGATTTTTAATTCGATCCAAAATTTCTATCTTTGAAGAGTTATAAATTTCCTTTTTAACGACGGTCCTTTCTTTTCATTCGGCATTGTTATGGCTAAAATTTTTTCAATCAGTTTTGTGGACAGTAAAAATCGCAAAAAATAACTTCCTTTCACTATGTTGTTAAAAATATACACCCAATAGAAGTTTATACTGTATTTTGGACCACTTTTGCAATCCCCACTTATTGAAAGAGTATAAATGATCGAAAATTTAGTGATATATTTGAATGTTTACTGTAACTGATGCACATCTGTCTAGAAACCGGTCTTCCCCTGAAACTTTCAAGGGAATAACACGCCAACGTCAACAACAGCTGTTTTCAAAGACTTTTAGCTCTGTATACCGAACTGCGGCTCGTATTACGTGATCCGTTGCGATTTTTCTGTTATGTGAAGATAATTCGTTTCTAATTACCGTAAACCGCGTTGTAAAAGTACCGCGTTGTAAGAAAATTTCCGCGTTTTTCCAACCGTGTTGGAGCGAAAACGCGTTGTAAAGGTATCGCGTTGTAGGAGGCCTACCTGTACATAAAATGATAGAAAATAATTCATAACACTGATTATTGTAATAAAAAAAAATTAAAAGTTATTTATAACTTTTTTGTTTATATGGAATGTACAAAGTATTTGTGGCAGTCTAACTATGACTTACGCGCAATCGAAAAGTTTGGGCATTACTACTCTAAGTAATAAAACTGTTAAGGATGTTTGGTGAAGTAAAGTTTTTTTACATTCGTTTAAAAGGTGTTTTAATTAGAATAATTTTTTGGTGTAATGAGACATTACGTGTTATTTCATAACATACATTGGCAGGTTCCCATCTTACACCACGAAAAGAGAAGCGTTAAATCCGTCTAGAATAATCCGAGCCGAAAATTTGTTTCGGTTTCGGTTTCGTAAATTTTTGCCCAGAAAACTTTTAGTGCGTCTTTGTCGAGACTGCCGAAAATGGATTCTCACATTTAGGCTATAAAGCCCTTGCTGTTTATCAGATTATGATAACAGTTGCAATAAAGTAGGGAAATTATAAACTCAAAGCGATTGATTGGTCAAATGCGGATTTTTACCGCGAGAACGAATTGAGACAAGGTCGACTCTAACCTATAGCGATCTTTTTGTTGACGGATGACATCAAAACTGCTCTGTCAAAACTCTTTGGTGTATTTTCCACCGCGCTTCTTCGCAAGTGGAAACTAGCCTTTATTTGTGCAATGAGTTGTTTAAATTTTCAATGCACCTGAATAAAGATATTCCAAGGAAAATTTCGAGTAGGTACTCCAATTACCACATACTCGAATATATCGGCACATGAGCATTGGGAAAAAATTTCAAGGTATTGGAAATTTTCTTAAAGTATCTTTTTATTCAGATGCATTGGAGCATTCTGTTGTATTGAAAATTCTTTTGAATACCATATTCTTCAGATAAATTTGAAACGCTTTTGGAATATTTTTTATTTAATATCTTATTACAGCATCTTTTTTCTTGTCATTGCCTACTTAGGATTATAAAATTGACCTCAGAAAAGAAAATTTAGAGTTTATATTCATTATGTAATTTTGACTTGTCTTTAATGCTTCCTACAAAAATGAAGAGAAATTGCCTAATGGTATAAGGGTTATTAGTATTGGTTAAAATATGAGAAATTAGTATTTTGGAATACCTCGTATATTTGCAGTATGAACAAATACATTCTATTAAGCATGAAGATGAATAAAGTAGCTGGTGATGACCGTTTCATATGCTTTCTAAGAAAACGTTTGAATCATGTAAAACTTGGCATCAGAAAGAAAGAATGTATTTAGTATAAATTTAATGGCGGATTTCTCTAATTCATGCCTAACTTCTAGTAGAGCGTTACATATTGGTAACAATAATACAATATAAATATAAATTATAATTAAATGAAATATATTTAATTAATTTATTTTTATACTGTATAAAATTAAATATTGAATATTCAAACGCCAGTTTAGCTGCAAGCTCTTTTGCCAATAATAAAATTTTCAAAATTAAAAAAAATTACTTAAAATAAATAGTTGTAAATGTATTTTAAAGATATAAATCCCTAAACAAATATTCATTTAATTCTAAATATAATTTTGATTGCTGATTACTCTGACAGTTTTAAAAATTCTTTGCTATAGAAAGTGAAAAATCTACAATTGAATAGGTTTGCATATATTAATTTTTCAGATAATCATAATATTCAATCGTTTTTATGAATATTTTCTAAGTTTAATGTACAGAATATTGTTTGAAAGCTGTATAAAAGTCATTTCATTTTCTAAGCTGTTCAGTGATTGTGTAACAAATCGATGAACTTTCACCCCAACGTTAAAGTTTGATTCACACCTGGAACCAACTGTAAATCTTATTTTTCTTTGGGGTCAGTGATCTTCGTTGTGAATTTTCTCTTCTCGAATTAAGAAAGAAATTAAACGAATAACAAAACTCATTTAGGGTAATAAATTTGACAAATATTTAATTTATTACTTATAAAAAAACATAAGGATTTAATCTAGTTAATAAAGAAAGATTTCGAAATTAAAATTAACCCGTCGGCACGCGCGTGCTCCGTCAAATTTAAATTACGCGCGCTCGGTCAATTAGGCACCAATTTAAAAAATTAATTAATAAAAATTTAGCGTCGAAAAACGGGTACTTTTACTTTAATCCAGTTCTAAGATATGTTTGTAGTCGAGTTTAGACAAAAAATTTTAATTTTGTTATAATGTTTTGATGATTTTAATTTTTTAATATTAGAAGGTAATTATCATAAATTACAAAGTGTCGTGTTTCATCTTCGCTCCCGTTCAAATATATAGTCCTAGATACGCGCCGATGTTTGTTTTTACTTCTAC